TGCATAAAAAAAAATAATTTTTAAAATTTAATAATTTGTGTTTCAGATAACCTCTGAAGAAAAGAACGCTGCAAATGTCGTGGTAAACTTGAGTCAATATTATTTAGTCATAAAGGAAATATCGTCCGGACAAAAAGGTACTTGCACCTGTCATTTGAATGAAGGGTTCATCAGGTGTTCTTCTAAAATAAACTATTCCCTTTTCAATTTCTTGAAGAATCCGCGGATAAAATCGATTCTATTATCAAAGGCCTTTTCGACTCATTAACAGGTAATGGCCTGTGGGCGTTTTGGAATTACGCACAGATATTTTCTTATTCTCATTTTTCTTTTAGCCGCACAAACCCCCGACACCTCCAAGCTGAACATACAACAGTTATTGTGGATTCATTTTCATAGATTCTCGATGTTTCTTGAGGTTTGATGAGATTCGGTTATTCTTGTATTATTTATTGGCTTCTAGAAGAGTTCTTCCGTAACATGATCTCGATCTCCCTCTTTATCGTTTAGACATGCAACTATGCATTAATCGTTAATCGAATTGTACATAACATGATTGGCACCAAAAGTAAAAAATCGAGCCACAAAGAATTGGTAAATATTCGTTGTTTCACTTTTCATTGCATTTACGCATGGGACAAATCTCTTACACTTTCCTTCCGGGAAATTCCGATGTAGGTGAAAGCCATTCAAAGCTTGAGCGCAGAGATCAAGAAACATCTTCAGCACCTGAATGGTCAATTAACTGATCTTCTAAGTAAGGTCGAGGGGGAAAAGACCGCACATGACCTTTTTGATTACATCAAGGCAGAAAAACACATTGATTTTTGTTCGGACGAGGTTTGTGAAAACATCCGCTTTCCCTTCGAATCATCTTCTTGATGACATGCTAACATGAATTTTACCTTTAGGAAAACGAATCAGACATCCTGCTCCTCTTGGACAAGGTAGTGAACAGCTGGGCATCAAGCCTGAAAACTTTAACTAAGGAAACTGGAGTCAGGATTGAAGAATTATCGCGCTAGTGGTTCGTATGTTAGATAAAAACACTTATTTAATTTTAGACTCCTAGTCTCTAGGGCTACAAATTTAAATATATATAAATATATACATATATTTATACACCAATGTTTATTTATTTTTGTCTTGTTTCGATTTTTTTTTTCTGTTCATAATTTGTAATTTTGAAACTCGGACACATCAATAATAAACCTGCGTAATAAAAATTTTTCTGGAAATTTTTTGTACCGCTAATGCATGAACGTAGTAAACCGTAAAACGAAAGGAATAAAATTTCCGAAATCGCGGTGTCAAATTCTTTCGTTTCACCAAGAGGCATCAGATATGACATGTTATCCTTACTTTGAACAACCTTGGCGATGTCCTTCGGTTTGTTTAGCCGATTCTATCATATTTTTCATTACAGATTTTAACCCGGCAAAACACAAATCCTTCCTTTTGCAACTCTCTCTTTAACTTTTCCATTTGAAACGCTTCCTTTTCGCCGTCACACGGTTCACCTCCCTGGGTTTGATTTCCAAAATGAAGAGTATCACTGGGATTCCCGTCCGAGTCGCTCCTGATGTCAATTGCATTGGTTTCCCCGTTCTCATCCCATAACCCAACAATTGCGCCCCCAGATCCGGTGAATTTGGCAGCAAATCCATGTCGATTTGCTAACTCGATCATTCTTAGATTATTCGCGCACATTGCTTCTCTGCCAAATATTTGTTTCCTTAGATTAAAATTTTCGTTCATCATCAATGCCAGTTGCTTACGTTTTGAGGATGATGTGAGAGAAGAATCCAGCAGTAACCGGCGCGTCTTTTCCGTTAACGACGCGAATTTCTTCATCGCGTCAATTACCTATGTCAACAGCAACAGATGGTCAGACAAGGCGAGAGGTTAATCGAAGGAAAAGGATGAAATGGTTGGATACCATTTGATCTCCCGACTCATATCTTTGTCTCACATCGCTATGGATCTTTCCTATTTCATGTCGTGGAATCAGTATCACGGATTGACCTTTTCTCCTCACATTGAAAAATCTCACTCACCAGA